TCAAGAACACCATCCCTACAGTGGTGCAGTGGTGGTGATGTGATGCTACCGGGTGTTTTTCAGCCAGTGTTTCATTCAGCGTCGTCATAGTGAGCGGTGTCATGAGAAAACTAGACTAGATCATGATTCTGGAGGTCTGGCAGTCTGCAGAGGAACTTGCATTGTTTCCCTCAACAGGACAATGATTGACAACATGCAGCCAAAGCAGTCAAGAAGCAGGTAAGAGAAAAAAACATCCACATGTAGGAGCAGCCCAGCCAGAGTCCAGACCTGAACCCCAAAATCTGTGGAGGGAACCAAAGCCTGGAGATGGTCGCAAAAAGGTGGAGTTCCAAAACCCCACTGGACAAATGAAAAACTCTTATTGGCAATTATAGAAAGAAGTTTGATTACTGTGGTGTCATTCAGCACTGAGAAAGTAAATATTAGCAGCTTAATTAATCATTAACATCTCCAACACAGCGTCGTACCATCTTTTGTTTCTGCCATTTCCAGCCAGAGAAAAGCTCCTGATTGAATAAAAAACACATCACGAGGAATAATTTCAGGCTCCACTATAAGTGAACAGCATCCAGTTCGTAACTTGTGTTCAAATCCACTAATTAGCCACTAAATTTACTTCATTAAGTCGTCTTTAATCTTTCCCGCCATCTGTCACTCGCGCCTTCCATCACGCTATATAAAAACGCCTTGAACAGTTTCATAGCCAAACTTTCTCTTCCTAACCTCCTCGCTCCACTACTCTTTGTCTCACCGTGCCAGCCCATGGAGTAGGGAAACGACACTTCAAACAGGTTGTCGTACTTGGTCAGCAGTCGCTTCATGATGGCAGCCAGATCTGACGGTAAACGGTGAAAAAGACCGAGTAAGAAAAGTGAGTTTAAAAACCTACACAACCACACAAACAAGTTTATTTTTACAGAAAAGAACAGGGATTCAAGTTAGAAGCAACTTCCTTGTCATCAAATCATCGTTTGTCTCCGCTTATAGAACATGAAACCTTCATTTAACATCTGAAACATTTCCACAGTGGAAACCCAAATACACCGGGAGATATTAGGGAGTATGTTGGGTGTTTGCATTATTAATTAAACATGCTATAATCTCCATATTCTTTGGAGTGTAGACAGGAGAGAAACACATGCCAACCACGAGCCACGTACGTCTTTTAATTTGAATTATGTCGCCTATAAAGGCAGGTTAAACCTTAACAATGACTGCTTATTGGTTAAAACTGATCCATCATGTAAACAAAAAGTGACACAGAAATGAGGATCTAACATATTTATTAAAAGTTAATCGTGTTTAATCTGTTTAGTGGTGAACTAGTTGGATTAAAGTTGAGCTAAGCAGTATTTTTTTGGGCTTCATTGGTTAAAAGTTCCATAATAACCTATTAGGATATTTTAATGAATGCAGTTTGAGACATAAACAGACTTCTGTGGCTCCTCTGTGGATTCTGTGTGAAGTGAAGGTTAACTTTTTGTCTTTGCGTATTTTTGAGCACGTCCATATGGCGGCATATTTAAACATCCGCGCCACTCCATCAACTGAAAGTGAGTAAAACTAAACGTTTGCTTGTCTGCGACGCCTGAACGTGCCGTTAACGAACACATCAGGAATCAGACCTGCAGGTTCCTCGGCGAGCCATCGAGTCACTTCACAGCCCTCTAAATCATCTTATCGCTCCCTCGGCCACCGGCTCTGTCAGCGTCTTCACTCACCCTCCCTCTCCTCCGTCGTCAGATCGTTGATTCGGAGGACGTGTCGTCGTGGCAACAGCAGCGTCTGGTAGGGCCACGTTGCCCAGTATGGAACCACCGCCAGCCAATGGGAACTCTCCACCACCACGCGCTCCTGAGAGAGAAGACACAGTAAAAAGAGTTCAGAATGCATGGAGGCATCACAGACGTGGGTGATGTAGCTACAGCGATACGGACAGTCAGCAGACCTCCACCTGTCACAGCACTGGTACAAGTCTGATCAAACTTATACTAATCTGGATTCCTTTAAATCAAACCTCGGTATGTAGACTTGCTCAGCAGTATTTCATGTATTCACTCAGTTCGTCTTGTTTAGTATTTCTGCTTTCAGGTAACAAACTTAATTTCACCCAGTGACCACTATAATGACCCTGAAGGAATGACAGTCACCAAGCTGGAGTAATGGCTGCAGAAGAGGTGGCTGGATGTCGTGGATGAAGGAGAGACTGCTGCAGCATGATTAGGTTCATGTTGTCTACTCTGATTATTGGTATAAGGTTTATTTCTTATCAGACAATGAGTGTTTTTTAGATCAGAGCTGTTTTAACCTTTGACATGTTTCGACTGTCACTTCAGTCTTCCTCACAAATATCACTGACGTCTGAGGTGACGTGTCTTCATCAGCTGCTGGTTTCCTGGAGGTGTGACCCGCCTGGCGGTCTGTCAGATTGACCCAACAGGCCACGCCTCCTGCCGCCCGCCGGTCTCTGCAGGACAGCGTCCCATGTGTGGGGCAGCATGATGCCCCCTCATCACGGCTCATGATGTCTTTGGCTCGCCTCCTGGTTCCTATGGCCTTCGATGATCTTTGCGTTGTCCCGGTCCATGATGCGGTTGTTTCTTCTGCAGTGGTCTGACATGGCTGACCGTAGGCTCACCTGTTCTGCTTTTTCTTTTTGTGATCTTGTGAGTCGTCCTGATGTTTCCACAGACGTCAGTGGCGTTTGTAAGGACGACTGAAGTGACAGTCGAAACATGTCCAAAGGTAGAAACAGCTCCTACCTAAAAAATACTCATTGTCTGATAAAAAGGAGCCTTGTGCCTGTGTCAGTGCTGCCTTTACAGACGCCAGTGCAACATGATGAGATGTGACATCAGAGGCTCAGCTCTCTATGGATGTTATCCACATTTACAGTGAATCAAACACTAGTTTTTTTCTTCCCCTGAAAGTGCATCAGACCATCATCTCTCTTGTTTATGCTGCATTATATACCGCGCTGCATTTCGTTGTGCATTAAACATGCTACCCTCCAGCAGCAGAGAATGCACACCGTGTCAAGAGCTGCATACTGATGTGAGGGAGAAGTAAGTTTGTTTGTGCTCAGATAGCAAAGTCAGGTTCGGGTGAGACTTTTATTTATTTATTTTTACCAAACTGTTATTTCAGCTTTAGACGAAGCAATCCGTTACATACAGACTGCTCTGTAACAGCTAACAACTGTATGATATTCAAAAATGCTGATAAAATGACTGTAACACGCCCATGCTCATCCACATCACGTCAGCATGACCACAAACACACAAACACATACACACGCCGACTTAATCAGCTGCACCGAAACCAGAACGACATAAAAAAAGAAAAAGAAAGGCAGCGTGTAGGTGGACTGAGTGCGCTCTCGTTTCATAACAAAGTGAGTTCAAAATGGTAATACGACAGGTCAGCCGGGATTGGCTGTTTGCAGCAAGAAGCCTTATTATCATAAACTGCTTAAATGCAGAAAGTGTCTGAAGCAGAGATTTAACAAGCTGATGAGTGGGCACAAACACGCCCTGACCTTGCTATTACAATCCATCAGAAACAGATTAGCTCGCTGTGTGTGCTAAACAGCTGCAGCGTGAATCCAGCGTCAGCGCCGTGCGTATCCTGGACAACCACAGGCTGAGCTGGGATGCTTCGGATCATACTTTCAGCTATTGCAGGGTTTTGTTGGTTTTTTTATTGTTTCAGTATCGATGATTGGATTTTTTTGGCCACTTGGAGGCAGAAAAAATCCTCAAAAAGCTGAAAAAACACCACAGCACTGATGAACTACTGTGGTCTCATAAAGCTGTGATGACTGAAGTACAGCATGTTCATTAGCAACGCTGACTTCATGACAAAAGCAGTTTCAACAGTCACATACCTTTTAGCTCTGATGAGGTGTTTGTCAATCCCTGACAGAAATATGCAGGTTCCTCTACAAACTCTACTCTGTCTGCTGTCTGGTGCTGGGCAGGTAGAGAACAGTGAGTTTATAAGAGTTATATCAGCGGAAAGAGCTGCTGGTACTATGAGAGGGCAAAGATGTACAAGAAAACCAAAATAATGAGCTAAGAAAGGCTAAAAAAAAAGTTTAGAGTTGTGTGATACCTCTGAATGTCTGTAACATCTGATGTAAACCCCCACATTGGTTGAATCTACCACATTAAAAGGTAGTAGAGGTTTAGTGGCTGACAAGACGCTCTTTGTCTGCCGTTAGTTCCACCTTTGCTCGTTCATGGGAGATGCCAGAGGTGCTCTCAACACAAATAAAGCAGATTCATATTGATATGTGTGAGCGTGTCAGAGCTGTGAGCTACTGGAATGCTGCCGTCAAGTGTAATATAAGATGCAATGTACAGAGCAGTCAGTGAACAAGCTAGCTGCTAGGGCTTAGCAGGCTGTGGGAGGCTGAAGGCATGACTGATACAAATATAAAGCAGTCATCCATAACATTAAAACCAGCTGCTATAGCTGTTGAGCTGTAAAAACAGATCTGACCTGCTGGTACATGAACATAGGACCTCTCAGGTCGTCCTGTGGCATCTGACAATGAAACCGTGGCAGAGCCCTGTGGGTGGAAGTGGGCCGTAAATGGATCTGGTGCTCCATCAGAGGGGATGTGGGGAGTTTGGAGGTCAGTGAAAGTCTCAGGCTCTTGGTCATGTTCCTCCTGAGCAGTTGTTGCTGTGGTTGAGGGAAGCCTGCTTGATCTGCAACAATGCTCAGTGGGTCTCAAAGCAACATCCACATGAGTGTGAGGACCAAAGGTTTCCCATCAGTTTGTCACTTCATAGCAGCATTTTTGTACATCTGGAAGAATTGTGCAATATGTAAACAAATAATATAAATCAAACATCAATATTGTTTTTAAACCAGTGTTTCCACTGATGGACACATCTGCGCTATATACCGCTATATATACCACTGATAGGTGTAATTCTGTTATTTTCAACACGCAGAGGGTTTTTGTGCAATATTTGAATATGCACACATTGTTAATCAGTACATGTATTGTTTGTTTGTTTGTTTGTTTGTTTGTGCTGATGCTCCCTACCTGTCTGCTCTGTCCCCTTTGCTGCTGTAGTTCTACACATTTCCCCACTAAAGGCTGATCTCAGCTTCATCTGCTAGTGGTTCAGATGTTGTGGCTAACTGCTGTAAATTCAGTTTCTATGCAGGTAAATATTTCACACCACTGCATTATCTGCAAAAAAAAAAATTAACATTTCTGAGACAGGCTCGAGACAACAGCAGTGCAAACACAGGCCGTCCTTCTCCAACCAGCCCAACACGGTGCAGGTCGAGGTGCTGCTTAACCAGCCAGGCAGCTCAGTCTAAACACACCCATGGTAAAGCTACCTAAAGATTTTGCCTGATTTTCACGACCGTGGGGGTCTTCAGCCGGTTTTCGATCCATCGACCTCCCTCGCTCTCCTGCTGGGTCCCAACAAATCTCGCCGTTAACCATCTCAAAGCTACATGGAGTCCATCGACGCCCGTAGTTTGATGTCTATACCTGCGTCCAGCTCATGAATAACACTGAGCATGAATTAAAAGCATATATGAATTGATTTGTGAAGTTTCCAATCTTTGTAGTTCACAAATTGATATGCGGAGCGTGTTCGTGGCTGCCGGGGTTCAGCCTTGTGGCACCTTCTGTGTGTTTGCATGTGCAGCCCGGTTCTCCCCCGGGTTCCCCAGCTTTCCACCGCATCAGCACAAAATTATTTATTGTGAATCCCCCCGCCGTCGCTCCTCAAATGCGTCTCTCGCCTCAGAACGGGAGCTGCTAGGCGCCGCGGGGCTAAAGGTAGTTTCTGCTAAAAACCTGATTATATGTAATCAGACACCCGAGCAGATGGAGTCGGGCCATACTGAGCTATAGACGTCCCACAGGTTAGAAGGAGCTGGTCCAGTGAAGCATTAGTGCATAATTAATGAATCTGCAGGGAATGCTGGGGTGTAGCTGTGGAGGAGAACACAAGGTAATCCAACACAAAGTGCTATGAGCTAATAATGAAGTGTAGATAGGACTCTACTTACTGCCTTACACCACTCCTTTCCCTTTGTGCATGTATATATATTGAACAGATGAAAACAAGAAAGGGGGTAATTATGTATATCTGTAAACTATTTAGCGAACTGATTATAAGTTTGATTATATTCTTTGCAAAACCATATTTTCAGTATCCTCCTATATATTCTCTATAGTCAGCTTTCTCCTTCCCTTCAATCTTCTTTCTCAAGGCCACTCTTACTTGTTTTCCACTGCACTTGTTCCTCTATACTTTTAACAGGATTACAAAGGTGCAGAATGAAGATGGAGAACTAAGAACCGGGATGGCGAGGGGAAGATTGAGGAGGAGATGTGAGCTGAAGGCAGAGCGAGGAAGGCGGAAGGTGTCCTGAAACAGACGCCACACAGACAACGAATCCCGGAGAGTTTTATTCAATTAGCTCAGAAAGTTTTGTTTCAAAGTCAAGAGTGTCACCTGGGAGCCGAAGACCAATTCAGACTCCCCTAAACACTGCAGTGTGCCAATTTGCGATCCTAACCTCGGGTCAGAGAGACAGGAGCAAAGAGAGAGTCGCACACACACACACACACACACACACACACACACACACACCAACACACACACACACTCTAGCAGCAGCATTTATACTCACACACACACTCCTGTTTCCTCTGATTTTATAAAGGTCAGTCCCCATGAGTAGCTGTCGAGGAGATTCAAGTGTCTACTCTGCTCTTCTCACAACCTTAATGCTATCTTCTCTATTTCACTCACAGACAGCGAGTAGAGGAGGTCAGCCCGTTCCCTGAATGAATCAGGGCCTGATTTCTCTTTTCCTTCTTAACTGCACATCTCTCTTTCCACTCTGGGACTTTGCATCTCTGTTTGTGTCCGGACTCTTCTCTCCTCACGGCCTTTGTTCTTTCTCCCTCTCTCTTCATCTCAGTGCTTCTCTGCTTCACTTTGTGCCCAAACTCCTTTCAGTTAGTCCGACACCGAGCCCATTCTCTCGCTCCGGCTGTTCTTAAAGAGTGAAATACGTGTCTTAGTCACTCTAAAAACTG